CGCCGCCGCCGCCCACGCTGCCGCGGCCGCGCCGCCGCCGCCGCCCGCCGGCGACAGACCTGCCAGGTCGGCCGCGGCCGACTCGACCGCGAGCCGCCACGCGCGGCGGCCCTCCCGCCGCTGCTGCGCCCACGCGCGCTCGAACAGGCAGCGGGAGGACTCGAGGGCGCGGTGGAGCTGGCGCAGCGACAGGAAGGCGGGCTGGAACGCGACTTCGGCGCCGCCGCTGGTGCGCAGCAGCAGCCGCAGGCCGGGCAGCCGGAACGCCGGGGTGCGGTCGCAGGTCCCAAAGTCGGCCTCGGTAAACGACAGCACGGCGCCGCCGCCGCTGCCGCCGCTGCCGCCGCCGCCGCGGCCCTCCGCTGCCGCGTCCGCGCCCGCCGCCGCTCCGCTGCGCGGTCGCTGGTCCCGCTCCGCGCGCCAACCAACTCCTGGCTCTTCAGAAGGTTCTTCCGAATCCTCCGGCCCCGAGGAGGAGCTCTCCTCAACCTCCAGATGCCACGCGGATGCAGAGCTGCCCGCCAGGTCGATCGCGGCGCGGCGCCCCGCGGCCGCCTCCGCGGCGCGCACGTCGCCCTCAAACACGACCAGGTCGTTGCGGCCGCCGTCCCTGCAGACGGCGTGCAGCGCCGCGTCGAGCGGCACGCGCGCGACGTAGCTCCTCATCGCCGCCGCCGCCGCCGCCGCGCGGTGCTGTTGCTGCTCCTCTTGCGCCGCCCCCGGGCCCGCCGGCCCGCGGGCGCGGTGGCCGGGGAGCGCGCTGGGCAGCCGGTTGCGGCCCAGGGCGGCGGCGATCGCCGCGCCCTCCTGCATGATGGATTCCTCCTCCAGCTGCTGCAGATTTGTGGTGACACTATCCAGAAGCTGCCGCCACGAGTGAACTGCGGGCCCGCCGCCCGCGCCGACGCCCTCGTTGGGGCCGTCGCTGGCGATGCTGCTGCTCTTTGGCATGGCGGGCTGCTGCTGTTGCTGGCCAGGGGCTGCTGCAGGCTTGCTGCCCTCTGAATCAGCCAAGAAACGGGCTAGAGGGTCATACACCCCACTGCTGCCACTGGTGTCGCTGCCGGCGCCGGGCTTCTGCCCGGCCCGGCCCTGCTCCTGACTGCCATGCGCGGCCTGCGCCGCCGGCTGCCACGGCCACCGCCACCCGCCGCTGGCCTCCGTCCGCCGCCACGTCTCGCGCATTGCATGCGCCGGCGCCTGGTGCGCGGGCAGGGCAGCGCCGGCCCCACCGCCGCCGCCGCCGTCGTTGGGGCCGCCCTGCTTGCCGCCCAGCGCTCTCAGCCGCGCCTCTTCAGCTGCCGCGCCCCGCTCGCGCTGGCGCCGCGCCTCAAGCAGCTCGTTGTACCGCCGCAGCACCACCGCGCGCCGCATGTGCTCGGCCGCGTCGCGCGACACGAAGAACAGGCGGCGGCCGTCCTGGGACGGCGTCGCCAGCAGCAGGCGCGCCTGGACGGCGGGGTCGATGTCCCATTGGGGGCCACCCGCCTCCGCCTCACCCTCTTGCGGCTGCTGCTGCTGCTGCTGCTGGTAGGCGCGCCGCCGCCGCGTCCTGTCCCGCGGCGCGCGGCTCTCGTTCGCCTTGAGGGGGGGGGGGCGCAGCGGAGGTTGAAAGTTGACCGTGACGGCGCGCCCGGTCTCACAAGGCCCGGCGGCGCCGCTGCAAGCATTTGCTTCCGGCCGGCAGCCGCGGACGGTCCAAGCGACCCGTGCACAGGCGGCTCACCATGTTGAGGAGCCCCATGGCGGGGTTGACTGTGACGAAGCAGTCGCCCAGCAGCAGCGCAGGCACTCCCGTTGATGCGGCGGCCTCGTCCGACACACCAGCAGGGTGCTGCCGCTGCCGCTCCTGCTGCTGCTCGTTCTGCGGCTGCTCGTGCTGTAGCTGCTCGCGCTTTGAATTGGGCTCATGCTTGAGCCGCTGTGGGCGATGCTGCTTCGGCTGCTCTGGCTGGTGCTGGCTGACGGCAGGCTGCTGCTGCGTGCGCATGCAGCTGCTTGTGCTGCGCATTGCGACCCAGCCTCCCGCCGCATCAGGCCCCACGAAGCGAAACTCCAGTGGCGCTGATGTCGCATAGCTTTGCTCGCTGTCGCTACTCACCGCAAGGGATCGCGGGAGAGGGGCCTCAAAGAAGTGACGCATCCTTCCCGAATCATAGAGGCGTCTTCCAGTTTAATCCATCATGCTGGTTTGAACTCTTGCAGAATTCTAGTAGCATTGGGTTAGGTTCGATCTGAAGGGTCACCAGGGTGACAATCACTGCCGCTGTTGCTGTGGCCTGTACATCCAGCGGCAGATGAGATAACAGCGCCCAATGGAGTGTGCCCCTGAATCATCTCATAAGTATGCGCCTAGCATAAGCGTATGTGTCTGGTGGTTGTGCAGTCCAAAGAGCAACGGTGCGCAGGTACCGCACGGGGGGCTGGTTGGTGCAGGCGAGGTCAAGATGATGACTGAGCACTTCAGGACGGGTACATGTGCTGAGAAAGGTGAGCACTGAGTTTGGCTTTCGGCGATTGGGCAATCGCAAACATCAGCCGGGGCGGGTAATGCAGACACCAAGCGGAAGATGTGGCGGCAGGCTTCCAAACCAAAACTTGCCGCTGTGGAACTGGACATGCCAGCTCTGCCGGTGATGCTGGACTCTGTGGGATGGATTTCGTCCCTGTGCTACCCATTTTATCATGGGCGGTAGGCAGGGCTGCACTACACTGTTTCTCCTCGCAACTGTAATTTGCAGAGCCAACAAAAGGCAAGTGAAGGTATCCATGCACCGCACGAAGATGGCACAGGCGAAATAACTAGCAAACGGATGAGTGGGAAACTCAAATACCTGACCAACGTCCATGGGGTGCCGGTACAACCAGTGCAACAGCAGCAGAAGAAGACCCCTCGCAGAGCTTTTGAAATTGTACATCACGGTGCACGAGGCAGGGGCCTCGCATCACTGTGACGACGCCCACTCAGTGTGCAGCACGGTGACCGGTAGCAGCGCGTTGCCAGTCGCGGCGCGCGCCACGACCTTGGCCAAGCTGGCCTGCTGCACCAGGCCGGTGCCCAGCTCCGCCACCACCACCTCCTCGATCTGTGTGGGGGCGCGGTGAGAATGGGGTTCTTGCTGCTGCTGCTGCTGCTGTCGCGATTTTTTTTGTCGTGGGAGTGACACGCTCTCAAAGCCAGCCGTATGAGCGAGCACTCTGGCCGTCTCGAATCACGATTCGACTCTTTGCAACCACTCACACCACACAAACCCAGCTTCTATGTTCGGCACCTTCCCTGGATCAATGCGTGCAGCCTTTTCCAGTGCCAGGCCCCTACCTCATCATACGGCCCGAGGCCGCCGATGATTGCCCCAGCCACGGCAGCCTGGAACGGCGCGAGGCCCGGGTTGTGCGCGGCGTTCTCCGTGTAGCCGCCGTGGAACACGCGGCCGCCGCGCGCGATCAGGGCCACGCCGGACGGGCAGCGCGTGTAGGGTGAATAGGACTGGGGCCGCGGGGTGGGATGCAGGTTTGCATCAATATTTTGTCAGCTGGTGGTCAAGAAGGGGGGAGGCCTGAGCCCCTCTGGAGTGGTTGCGATCCCAGCTGGTTCTAAAGGAGCGTGAGAAGGGCTGAGTCAAGGGTTCTGTTCTGAGAAAACATGCAGACCGCCAGGCGCCCACCACGCTCTTCCCCCAACGCCGCCCGATGCCCCCCCCCTCTTGCCCTCACCCGCCGCGCCGCCTCGAGCGCCGCGGCCGCCGCGCGCGCAAACACGCCGTCCCCCGCTCCCCGCTCCTCCAGCCGCCGATTGGCGGCGGCGCCCCATTCAAGCGCGTTGTCCTGCGGCTCGAGCAGCAGCGGGGCGGAGCCGGGCTCCAGCAGGTCTATGGGGCCGAAGCGGTCCGGCAGCAGGTCCCGCAGCCGGTACTCCTCCTGGTGGGCGCCGTCGTGGGAGCCAAACAGGAACCGCACCGAGTCCTGCGAGCGCGCAAACAGCGGCGGGGCGCGTCGGGCAGCAGGTCAAATCGGATCACTTTGCTTTCAAAGCACGGGAGGAACGAAGCTTGGCGCTCCTCGTCGCAGGCTGGTTGCAGCGGCGCGCGCGGCGGGCGCGGCGGGTGCGTGCGCCGGGCTGCCGGCCGCGCACTGACCGCGCACGCGAGCTCGGAGTAGAACTGCCTGCAGTGGCCGCATGGCGCGGCACTGATGGCCAGCGTGTCGAGGGCGGGCTCCCCATGCAGCAGCAGATTGGCCATCAGGCACTGCTCCGCGTGGATCGACTGACTGAGGGCTGCGCCTGGGAACTCGATGTTTACGCCGATGTAGATGGCACCACTGGGGGCCAGGCCGGCGGCGCTGCGGAAGTCGTGGGGGCGGGGCCGGGTTGGCAGG